GGAAAATGTCATAAAATAGTTCCAAAAAATGTATCCTTTAGGTGGTGATGGGCTCTCGACAAAAGCTGTTTGAACCCGCCTCTGCATAAGATTATTATTATTGAACTATGTTGAAACGTATTCCAGATGCTGATAATATGTTTTGCAAGTTTCGTTCAGGTAGTTTTGAAACAATTGTCTTAAATACCTAATGCAATCATCTCCCATCTGTTAGCAGATTAGTTAAGCACTGTGCCGTCCAATTAGAAGCATATGCGTTTTTTTACAATATCAAAAAACTTCTTGGAAAACTTTCTAATACAGCTATGCAGCTCAAATCGCCTCTGCTAAAGCGTTAAAATGATGTGACTCTATTAGTTTGGATGTTTCTTTTCGCATGAAAAAGCGAAATTTAACCCTAAAGCTTTTTTTCTGTCAGTGCTGAAAAAAAAACATTTAATCAGATTGAATTCAACAATCACTTCGATACATTTTTCATTTACATTTTGTAATAGAATGATAACCGGTAGAATTGGGGGGGGGGGGGGGGGAGAAGAGTTGGAAACCTTAACGGAAACTCCAAAATAACCATTTTCGTCCCTATTCCTATTCGATAATGATCATATCCGAGAGCCATATTCCAATATGACCAGATTCGAGAACGTTCATTGATTGAAATATACGCTGAGGTTAAATAGTTGGTCACTTTTTCAGCGAATATTCAACTTCAAATTTAAAGTGCTTGAGAGCTTTAAGGCGAGCATTGTTTAATCAGTTCTTCATATCAATTATTGTTGGAGGTTTGGTTAGTCAATTGTTAATGTCTTTGGATAGAACCATATCAAGATTTTTGAAAAAAAAACAACGTCAACAAGTGTAAAAGAAAGGGAAGGTTCCCTCTTACTGACCCTCTACATCCTAATGCGCACTGGTGGTAATCAGATGTGTCTTTTGATCACATAACTTTGGGTGAAATAAAATTCACAAGTGCTGAATTTTTTGCTACCAAATATAAGGTGCTTGGAATAAAAGTTTCCTTGGACATACCTTCGAAATTTGGCCAATCTATGAAGCAGTACAACTGTAATTATCAAAACTCACTTTCTAATCACTTGAATCATAAAGTTTTGTACAAGTTTCAATTAGTGGTTATTTTTTTTGAAACCACAACAAATTTTGATTTTCTTTTGATTTTTGGTTGACTTTGGTTTTTTTGATTGATTGGTTTTTATTCAAACTCCTCATTCGAGATTCAATATTATTACTGAAAATATCAATATTTTTAAAACAAATTACAAAATGGCACCAAGTTTGGTTAAAAGTAAAACTAAGCAACTAGTGGCGTGCACGTGAATCCTCCCTCACCTCGCAGGTGCATCGTTTCTATGTTGTAATGAGCAGTTTTATTTTACGAGGTTAAGTATGAATATGATTGTCATGGTCTAAAAAATCCGCATGCGAATAACAACAATAGGGCAAACAAACAATTCATTCGTAGAAAAACTGGCAAGTGGGGTTGGGAGTTGGTAGGAAAAAGAGCCATTATTTTAAAAAGATGCAATTTTTAGACCAAACCAAAATAAACATATTCGAGAAAGGCTCGTTTATTGATGCAAATAAACGCTGAAGGCTAAACAATTCGTTACTACTTCCGCGCATAATCAACCTCAAATTTAGTGTGCAAGGGAGCTTAAGGATGAGCATTGGTTGATCAATTATTGATGTCAATTATTGTTAGAGTTGGTTAGTGAATTATTAGTGTTTTTGGATAGAACCATATCAGAATTTTTGAAAAAGAATGCCAAAAGTGTAAGAGAAAGAGAAAGTCCCCTTTTACCGACCCTCTACACCCTAATGCGCACTGGTGGTAATCAGATGTGTCTTTTCGATTGCATAATTTTGGGTGCAATAAAATTTAGAAGAGCTGAAAATTTTTTTTGATACCCTATATGAGGTGCCTGGACTAATTTTTAAAAACAAATCTTCGAACTGTAGTCAATCTATGAAACAGTACATTTTTAACCTTCAATATCCACTTTCTAATTAATTGAATCTTGAAATTATTGTTAAAGTTTCAGTTATCAGTTATTTTTTTAGAAACCACAAACTTTGATTTTTTTTGGGTTTTGGCTGAATTTGATTTCATGACTCATTCGTTTTTAGTTTAAACTGATAATTCGAGATTCACAATTATTACTTTGTCTAGTTATTTTCCTGGTAATCTAGATCCCATGGAAATTGCCTCTAGATCTCTTATGAATTGTTTAAAATTCCAAAATGTTTCGCCCATCCTGTGAGTCCAAATATTGAATAAAACTGAAAAACAAACAAAGCTACAACTGCTAAAAAATGAATTTTGGCTAGCAATCAAAATCTAGAATTAACAGACAGTGCAATTTTTGTAGACAAATGTCTGGTCAAGCTACTTCTGAATGTATCTGACAAAAACTTTTATAAACGCTTCCAAGAGAAATTGGAAAAAACATCGCTGGATTTCTAATTTCTTTCAAGGGAACCCGCTGTCAGTTTTATTGTCGCCTAATGCTACAGTTTCTCTGCAAATTCGGTCTTTTATTCTAATTTCTGCTTGAAAGACCATTTTATCAGCGATTGAGACAATATTAACCTGTTTGATTTTTTCAACCTCCATTTTACGCAGTTCAGACAAGTACATCAACAATTGAGGCAGAAACTATTCCTACAACCGAACTATTAATGTAACAAGACAACTCGTATGTCAGGGCAAAACCATAAACGTTTTGACTGCCCTTTAATTGGTCTGCTTTATTTTTTGGTAAAACAAAATACTGGACAACTATAAATTTCGGACAATATCGAAGATCAAGTGTGAAAATATTAGTCCTACGAAAATAATACGATCAATTCAGAGCTAGCCTCAATTTAATTTGCAATAATTTTGTTGTGCGGGATGATTCGCTACGCCTAAATAATTCGCGTTACGCTTTCAGAAATTATGAACTAAATCTTGAAAGAGCGCATAAATTGGTTCAAAGAATGGCCAAATTGGTTATTTTCACTTTGCAAAAAAACGATCGCAGGTAAAATATCTCTCTACATTTTAAATCAGGGACTCAATGTCTTCAATGAGGTATACAATTTTTTAGATTAAAAACCTTTACTTTGATCGAAGAAAACTGACTGAATAAAAAACCACACCAAGCATAAATATTCCGTTTTATTCGGAAGTCGGAGCAAAAGATGTGTCTGGGATAGAACAGACGATTATTAACCGCTTGTATCTATTTTGCATCAAAAATCCGAGATGCGCAAGTTAATTTTCTTCTTATGTTTGTGAAATTCATTGGCCGATTATGTGAAAATTACGGACAAAAAGTGCAATCCAGTGACAAAATACAGACTGCTGATATCAGTGCGAAGCATTTGAATGTGCCGACACCTTTTTAAGCTCTATGGATTAATGTTCGCTTTAAGAAAAGTTTGGTCAACTGTTAAAAAATTTAACAAATTTTGAATTTTTCCAAAAGTATCCCCCTTTTTAGTTTTATGGAATAGTGTTTGAGTTACAAAAATGACCAAATTTTAAAAAGGAAAAAAATGGAATTTTTTAAAATTATTTATTGAAAACCATTTACCACACGTAAAATACAAAATGATATATTTCGCATATATGAAAGAATTCAGTAGACTAAATAGCATGCTTCAATTAAATTTGAAACGATTTCTAAGACGGATTAAATATCCGCTCATGCGTTTATAGCACAAATTGTATCGCGCGTTGATTGTCCCAAATTGACAATCTTCAAACCCCATTATTTTAATAAAAAATAATCACAGGTGAAACATTTTTTTTACTTGAAGCTCAAAACAACAATTCTTTTTGGATGATAATGGAAAAAACTTAACAAAAATTGCTAGTTAAGAAGTCGAATTTTGTCTGGAGAAAAAACCACCCGAGCAAACATTCCGTCACTTTCTTCAAAAGTCGAAATAATAAACTGACTGTAGAATCTTCTGTTAAATTAACTGAAGTCGCCGAGTAACTTGTCGGTATTATGTGATTGCAGCAGTTTTTGGTGAATTCCAGTAGTATCTGTGTGTAGAATTCAACGGTGTGAAAGCACATTTTTGTGCTTTATTATATGATCTAACTTGGCGTAGTAATTAATCGCAAACATTCTATCTTTTCTTCAAAAATTGGAAGGATTATTAAAACTGGACATTAATGAAACTACGAGTATCTAATTAATGAGGCTTGAATTCTATTTTCTTCATCAAAAAACTATCTTTTTTAAAAATTTTTTAGAAGTACATTGCCTTTTTGATTGAATACCTGGATACCTGGTCGGTAAATAAATCAACCCATCAAAGACCAAAACCTTTTATCAATTGATAAACTACTCAAATGAGCAAATTGAGATAATTTTTGGGATGTTTTGATATAATGAGATGCAATCTAATACATTGTGCGATAAAGATAATGTGAGCAATCTAAGGAAATTTCAATGAAATATGACTTGTGCTTTAATTGGGAGAAGACCTAAAATTAACCTTGTGAATAAATTTTGTGCCTTCAGTAAAATGATAGGAAAAATGAATTTAGAAATATCTTTAAACTCACTATTGAGTGTTATGTAATTTCGATAAATAAGCACCTTTCCAACCTTATTTACACCAGCTCCATTCCTTATTACTGATGCAACCCGGCAGTAGCATTAATGTCAAAAGTTCAGGAAATCATTCTGGTTTGCCTGGATGAGGTGGCATGCTTTGCAAATTTATATGAGCAATTTTGTTTTAGAATTGTCGTCGAACTATATTATTGAGTTTGTTTTCATATTGACAGCTAAATCTAAGAGGAAAGATTGAAGACTACTAGAAAAACTAGTTTTCAATGTAATCAAATGCTAGTAGTTATACTAGTTTTCCGAACTTTTAACAGTTCTTCGAAATAAATTTTCCAATATGAGAATTGCCTTTTGATATTGTTCATGCATTTCCATGTGTTTCCGTCCTTCAGTGACCTGGATGTCCTGTAGAGTCTAGAATTGAGTCTGAGGTCTGGCCTCGATCCATTTCTTGATGTTTGGGTTCTCTTGAACCTTGTCGTGTATGGCCTTCAGCTTGGGAGTGGCGTCCAGGGTGACTCCGGCTGACATGCTAGCGTTTGCCAGGGGGACGACGTCAGTCATGAAGTTGTAGAACATCAGATCCGCCCACGAAGTGCCACTTGCTGGGAGTTAACAAAATGTATACATTCATGAAAGAAACAACATTGTAAGGAACAGCAACATTTTCTTGAATTTGATTGTTTCTTTTCTGCATATTTCAACCAAATTTTACTTACACGAAAACAATTCAACAAATTGAGATGCGGTAGCTCTATGCAAGTTTAGAAATGATACAAGGAGAATCAGCTTTACAATTATGGCTTTACAAAACTTACCACAACAAACCTGTTACAGTTCTGAGCATTAACATTTAGAGATAAGGGCTAATCACTCACCCAGGAATGTGCCATCTCCCTTGACGCAGTTCTTCTCCAGGAGCTCTAGCATGGTGTTTATCTTTTCTTTGGCCTCGCCAGCGAATGCCGTCTTCCTCTCCTCGTCCTTCTCGAAGTAGGCCTTCATGAGACTCTGGGCCATGTCACTCTTGATCGCATCCACCACCATGTCCGCGTGAAGCTTCTCCTCCCCACTCTTACCAGCTAGATCGAACTGCAAACAAAACGCTATAGAGTTCACAATGTTTTTGCGTTGAAATCCGAGTTACGAACAGGTCGACAAAATTTTCGATTCTTTTAAAACCTGCCCCTCGGTAAAATTCTAGAATTCGCACCTGACCTCAATTGTAAAATTTGGGGCTGTTTCTCATCAGTTGCCCAGATGCTGCTAAGTGATTTTCTTATGTTTTGGGGACAATGATGCGAAAGAGCCAGAAAGACATTCTTAATGGCATAGTCTTATGATAAATGGTAAACGAAATTGGTAACGTAATGCTTCAATTCTCAACCCTTTAAGCTTGACCACTGCAGGTGTTAGATGGGAGAGGCGATTCGGAAATAGGGATCGGCGGCTAAGCAAACCGAAATAACTGAATTAAACTGAAGCCGGAGCCAATCAGCACCATTTCTCGGTCGATCTTCGAGCGATAGTTTAACTAATCTGTATCAGCCAATGCTTTAATTTGGCAATATTAAGAATATTCTCACTCGCATTGCAATAAGCCTTTTTGGCATAACTCAAGTTATTGAAACCTTTTTCGGTAGCCGAATCGAACGGAGAATCGAGCTGAAAATCTAACAACCGAACCGAACCGGACCGGCGTTTAAAATTCCTGGACCACCCACAATTATTCGGAAGCACCAACACTGTCGCAAAAAACTATGAACTCAAGCAGTGCTGTTCGTTCATAAGCTATTTAAGATGCTGAGTTTTTTTTGCTACGGCAAAGTACAACTAAGACAAGTATTATGATTCAGGACAATTTTTGTCTAGGTTTTGTGGCATGTGCATCTGTAACTTATTCTAAGGGGTGGTTATAATGGGAATAAAGGCAAATAAAGCTGACCTTGTTAGCCAGATATCTGGCAATGGCCATCGACTGCGAGTATACCTCTCCGCCCTCCAACAGTATCATGGGCTGCCCCCCAGTCGGGCTCTTCGCCTTCTCTCCCGCCTTCCACTCCTCACTTGTGATCCTCTTGTCTTCGTACTTTTCTCCCGTATATGCGAAGATGAGTCGACTGATCTCGGCCGCTCCCTTCAGAGGGAAATAACACAAAGTAAGAGACATTAGTCCAATCTGAAAACGACAACAAATTTCAAACGTTATGTTTCAAATGTATGTTTCGACAAGGACTGCTTTCAAGGCTCAGTGACAAGGTGAGGTGAAATGAAAGGAGGGGGGGGGGGGGGGGAGGAGGTCCAGGGCAGGAAAAATTGGCTTGGTTTCTTCATAAATGTTAGTTTTTTGGTTCTTTTGTTGCATTTTGAAAATATGGATCGACCGCAAAATCTCTAACCTCCTTCGCTACTGGGGAATATTGCACGATATGTACAGTTTATGACTCTCGGTGCCGTAGTTAAATTGTTGAATTTGAGGTTTTTAAATTTCAAAAAAGAGCTAATGAAAGAACGGCAAAATTTTGTTATGTTTAAAGCGAAGGAATGATATTGTTCAGCTTGTTCAAGCTTTCGTATGAAAATAAAGAATAAGCATGCTTGACTAATCATTAGAGAAAAACACGTTTTTTTTGCCTGCGTGTTATTTTTTTTGGTTTCCTGTCTAGCGCAGAGAAAAATAAGAAATAAACTGAAAAAAAAAATAACAGAAGTGTCCACAATCTTGTTCTTTTTTTGCAATCGAAATTTTAAAATTGTTGAAATGAATTGAAGAAAAACTGCCTAAAGAATTCCTTCAAAACTCAAAAATTACACAAACAGACCGACCATTATGAGAAAAGATGGCATTTTTTGAGCGCGCTCAATAACAATGAACAATTTGTGGAAGCGGAAATCTAAAAACTAAGCCTAAAGAAAAGAAGGATGTATATCAATTGAATGCCATAACTGATCGGAGAAAAGTTTCTAGAGCCCGGTCTTCGGATTGGTACAACCTAGCTGGTATAATCAGGACAGTTCAATAACGTTCTGCTGGGATCAGTGACACGTGAAAGAATTTTTTGAAAAATTGATCAGCCATTTTTTGGCCAGCTATTTCGAGTTCTTCAAACTCTCGAAATATTATCACGGCCATAATTAGCAGCATTTCCTGCACCACGCACGTTTTTAATATTGTCATTTTAGCGAATTATGGAAATTTTCGACGAAAAAATTGCTCGCTGAAAAAAGCACCAAATGGGGAAAAAAGTATCGAAAAAATTTTGGCATCCAGAATTGACAAAGGCCCTCCATCCTCCTTGTAGTTCGCGTGAGTTTACATGCTGTCAGTTTTTACGTGCTAGACTACGCCAATGGACGATAATTCCCTGGACGATATCTACCTGGTTTTTTGTTCAACATGTATTGCTCTAAATTTTTATGAGATTTGTTCAGCATTGAATTTTCAAACATTTTTGGCTATACGTTTTTTTAGTCTGCGACCATTGAATGAGACCATTAGCTGCAACATTTTTATGTAAACTAATATAAGAAATTGCATCAAAATTGAGTAGAGAGCTGTTAAATTCCGGTCGTATATTTTGAAAAACGGAAAAAAAAATCAGACCATTTTTCCTCGAAACTGGAACCTGATCTAAACTATATTTTATGATTGGATAAATTAAATGTTTTACCAATGTAAAGTATTTAATATTAACCAATCATGATCCATCTAACTAACAACCCACTTATTTGTAAGTGCTGAAGTTACTTGTAATTTCAGCACCAGAGAGATTTGAATTTAACTTAGAAATTAGTTGGACTCTCCCGAGCACTTCAGCAGCCGCAATAAACCAGTATACCCTAGATCTATTGAGCCTAGCAGAGACTAGTTAAACAACCTGAGACTAGATAGTATAAGAGTAAGATTAGGATCGGTATTAGACTAAGAAGTTGCACGAATCTATCCGGCCGAAAATAAGATAGCGTGACGAGCAGACGGTGTACCCTATCCGAAATTACTCTATGAGTTATACACCCCAGTCCTAACTCATCTGGTGCGACCATAAGTCTCGAACAAGACCTTACTAGATTAGAATTAACCAAAATTAGATTAGAAATTAGACAAAAACATTTACAAAATGTTATACGACAATAATTTAATTGAAATGTCTCTCCGACTCAATAGATCAGAGCCAATATTCCGAACCATAATAGAACTACCCGGAATTGGAAGAAGACATCGAACCAAAGACGACATACGACAAAGTAGAAACTTGCCGTATAGTTATATGATAGTTCGGCAAAAGCCAGAACAAACTTTTATATTTCGAATACTACTTGCAATGAATTTAGATTTCCATTTGCAAACATAAAACCTTGAAGTAAATCTTCAAAATCATTTCAGGCGCTAAACAAATTAATATTATACAATAACGATTGATAAAAAGATCTAAGATCGTTTTCCTAAAATTCTGCAGTATTATACAAAACATGTTTGAAGAATATTTATTGGAAAATAAAAATAAAAATTAGTAGCATGACAATAAATGGTCAGTAATCATAAATCATCCTGTTGTTCCAGCTTCATCACCTAAAACATAACAGCAATCATAAACCCACTAATATCATCAAAACACTAAATCTTTCCTTTACACAAATTTAAAACTTTATTAAAATTTAAAGTCACTTAATTTAAAATCAGATCATCAAGGCTTATCCTTGGATCTTAAATCATTTTCTACTTAATTAAATTTTAAATTTGATCATCAAGGCTTATCCTTGGATCAAACAGAACAACTTTGTTCTCCCCCACCCACTTAATTAGTGTCTAACGACCTCAAACGTCGATTCACTACCCAACCCTTTCTAAAAACCCAAGACTAATAGAAATTTTTAAACAAAACTAATCATTCAAATTAGGATAAACAGTGAAGAACTTCGGTTATTCATCCTTCACTTGACCCCTCCTCTTACCAGACCCAGGATACATCTTAGACTTAGTAAGTTTAAAATAGTATCTAACGAACTACTCGCGTTCTAATTATACCTGAACCTTGTCGATCGATTTACTATTCTCCAACCCTTGAACACAATCACTACCCCTAAGTAAGATTAAGTAAGTTAACACCTTAGCTTATACTAGTCACGAGAAAGTAAAAATCATTCTTCGGAATCGATATACTTTTCTCTCCAACCCTGAACAACTAGACCCAGGTTAAGCTAACCAAAAAATCGTAAGAACTAACAGTTTAAGTCAATAGAAATCATTTAACAACCTTTTGCATCCGTCATTCTAAACCTTATGTCATTTAAAAACCTAGGAAATAAACAAACAATCATTTTACACAATTGTGAAATAGATAACAAAAAATACGACCTTGTAATCACACCTCATACACAAACAATTGGATACATTCGAACAAAACGACAAACACTAAAGAGAAAAATAATAACTAAACAAAGACAAATAACACGAAAAAGATTTTCAAAAAATCGAAACGCATTTTCAGAATCAGAAACCAACAGTTTAGACGAACTTTACAAACTAAAAGAATCAATAGATAAAAATTGCCCACAACACGATCAAATATATTTTTCTGACTCAGAAACAACTTCAAATTCATCACAAAGAGGAAAAAGAAGAATAAAAAAGCAGTACAAACACAAACCAGTACATTTATACAATTGGAATCAACCAATTCGACACATTAATAATTACATATTAACAGTCATCGAACGAAAAAATGAGTTCAACGCACACCCCAGGTGACGAAACTCCAGATGATGATGAAATCTTTCCTTTTATAGTAGATGCAGATACTGATAGAGGACAACACATATTTTGTCAAAATTTACTCGTAAATTTATTTGAACCCGGAATCAGTCCATGTAAAACAGAGTTCCCCGATGTAAAAATCAAAAGACAAATCATAGATCACTATCTAAAAGATATATGCAACATAACACAACAGTATGGAATCTACTCTATAGAATTCACTTCCCCAAACCATAATAATAGAACATATACTATTCAAACAGACGACCTTGATTTAGAATTTTCAAAAGTTTTTTCAGAATATATAAAAAGCATCCAATACCATAACTCACAAAGAGCAAACTCCATTTTCACCAATGAAGTTTTCGCACTAATATATAGTTATATTTCGATATTAGAAAATGAACTCCCATTAACAAATGTCTCACCGACAGAAACATCTAAACATTTAAGAGTACGACATGAAATCACACTACTCTCTAGTTATTTAAACATCATTAAAGAAAATTTCACGAAAGACGACGTTTCACAACATACCAAACACGATTTACAAAAAATTTTAGCATGGTTCATAATAGATTATTTTACACACAATATTGATTTAATTGCACAAGCAAGAAAAAATTTTAGACCCCAAAATTCGAACGATGATACCGCTATCACAGAACAATCAGATTATGTTTGGGACCCCGAATGGTCTCATTCCGCATTTATAAACTTTCCACAATCAATCTCAAGTCAAGCAATAGGTACAATATCTTACATAAGAGATTATGTAAGAGTAATACCATTAACAATTGATGCAACACCATTAAACTATAATACATTTTTACCCGATACACAAAATAATAGTTTAAACTCTACAGTCATACACAATGAAAACCTCAATGGAACTAGGAATCTTACTCAACAAGATATCCAGACACCATCACACTTCATAAATGAAGAAATTGTACACACAACAACTACACAACAAAGTATTTCACCAATACGCCCAAATTTAACAACACCAAGAAATACAAATCCTTCACAAACACAGGTAACCTTACAATCAACCGTTAAACCTTCGGTTGCCCCTAAATATCCAACCCTGAACAACTAGACCCAGGTTAAGCTAATCAAAAAATCGTAAGAACTAACAGTTTAAGTCAATAGAAATCATTTAACAACCTTTTGCATCCGTCATTCTAAACCTTATGTCATTTAAAAACCTAGGAAATAAACAAACAATCATTTTACACAATTGTGAAATAGATAACAAAAAATACGACCTTGTAATCACACCTCATACACAAACAATTGGATACATTCGAACAAAACGACAAACACTAAAGAGAAAAATAATAACTAAACAAAGACAAATAACACGAAAAAGATTTTCAAAAAATCGAAACGCATTTTCAGAATCAGAAACC